CGATATGATGCGCAACAACTTTATAAAGCTATGGATGTATCGATTTATCAATTTTAACATTTTTTTAATTTTAACATATATCATAACACCTCTTTTCTTTTCTTATACACATATCACTAACTATAATTTGTATAGTTAAAAATTTAATTACATGGGTGAAATATTCAACATTGAAAAAATTGAAAAAAAAAACATTGAAAAAAATCATTGTAAAGAGCATATTTAGTAATTATTTGCTTAAATACTTCGATGCATAATGACTTAAATATAACTGAAATTGTAGAGGAGCTCTATATTAATCAATTATCAAAGGCACATCCAGTAATCAGTATCCTAGTACTTCGATATTTGATTGATTAAGTATTTGCAATTACATATTCGAATTCTTTTACTTGATATAAAAGATGTATGGAATATATTAATATACTCAAATTCATAAATGTTATATTATTCAAAATTTTATTTAGTGTAATTTTTGATTACATCTTTAAAAATTTTACAGGGTATCGGTACAAAAGAATCGGTACTAATTGAAATTATGTGTTCACGAACGAATGCTCAAATTGTTGAGATACGTAACATTTATCAGCAAATGTACAAATCAACGTTGGAGAAAGATTTAATTGGTGATACAAGTGGACATTTTAAACGATTACTCATATCGTTATGTAATGCCGGACGTGACGAAAGTATGCAAACTGATTCATTACGTGCTAATCAGGTTATCTTTTTGGATATTATATTACAATAATCGAAATACTACATCTCATGCATAATCATTACACATTAATTAAAATTAACATAGAAATTCCACCTCTTGATGAGTTTATATATATGTATATACATGAAAGTTCCAAACTTTTCGAAATTAGAATATTTCACGAATATTATACTTAAAAAGAAAATCAATATAATGAAGAAATTTTTATCAGTAAAACCAAAAGCTATTTGATGCTTTTCAAAAGAATGAAAAACTTATTGACAAATTTATGCATAAGTAAAGCTTATCTTTTTAATTATAACATTCGAAATATTTTCATTCTTTTTTATGCAATCATAAAAAGTTCTTCTGATATATGATATTGCCATTTTTAGGATGCGAAAAAATTATACAAAGCTGGCGAGCAACGTCTTGGTACCGATGAATCATGCTTCAATGCTGTTTTAGCTTCTCAAAATTACGCACAACTAAGACTAATTTTCTTAGAATATCGAAAGGTTAATTAATTAAAGTTGATATTTTAAAATTATTAATCTTCCGTTTTTTGCATCTTATACTACTCCATAAATTTATAGCGCGCGTTTATTCTAGAATTGCAGTAGTTCGGCTTTCAAATTTGAATTCTGTTTTTTTTGAAATTTTCAGTACTCATATTCATAATCAAAATTTATATAAGTTTTTCCATCCTACAAGCATTTTTTCAGATAACAAATCATACGATTGAGAAAGCAATTGAAGCTGAATTTAGCGGTGATGTCAAAGATGGCTTATTAGCCATCGTTGCATGTGCACAAAATAAATCAGCTTATTTTGCTACCTTACTTTACAACAGCATGGTGGTAAGCTATCATCGTTATTTTACCAATAAAAAAAGTGTTATTGTAGGAGGAAAACAATTAATGTACCATACCAATAAAGCAATAACAACGGTAGCAAAATATATTTTCCTGATGATTCGCAATTATTGTGGATCGAATAAGTTAAATCGATCACTTATATAATTATATCAAGGAATGTATTTCTAAGCAAAAATGAATTCTAATCAAGAATTTGCAACATAATGGAAATTCTAGGGACTTGGCACACGTGATAATGACTTGATCCGTATTATTGTTACACGTTCTGAGATTGATCTAGCCGATGTACGACAAGAATTTGAACGGAAATATAATAAGAGTTTGGAATCATTCATTAAAGGTGATTGTTCGGGAGCATACAAAGATGGTCTTATCGCACTAGTTCGTGGCAATTAATGCAATTTAAATTTAAGCTTGAATTTTCCTATTCTTCTTTACAAAAGACACCAGCAAATTTTCATCATTTTGTAACTACAAGAATTTCTACAAGCTGTAATTTGAATTAGTTGTAATTTCTTTATTAATAAAATTAAATTTGCATTCGTACATTGCGTAGGTCATACAAGCAGAGAGTGAAAACTGAAGATTTACATAACAGGTGAAATTCTTGTTCAAAAACTCTTTCTGGTTTATAAAATACGACATCAGGAATTGCTCATTCCGTAACCGAAACTTCTCACTTAACCTATTATAGCATTCACAAGATTTAGACAGAGAGCTTATACTTAGCTTATCTGTCATACAATCTTCGATCCATACCGATCAAGAAATACTGTTTTATATTTCGTGACATACTTGATGATAGTACTTCAAGGGATAATTATAGAACTCTAAGCAAAAAGGGACAGAAGCTAAATATTAGTGCGAAAAGATTCTTCCATCCGCCCGAAGGATTATAGTTTACGCTATCATTCATTTTAAGCACATTCAATAATATTGAAAGTTGCTTTCATGAATAAAAGTGCTTTATTTCAAAAGATCAACGAAGGATAATCATTCAAAACGATGCACAAGAGAAACAAAATGAAACTGTATTTGTTTTCCCCAGCAAAATTAAAAAAACAGGAAAAGAATATGTCCAAAATATGGAGCATTATGAAGAATATCAGATCGGTGTAAATTTATGTGAATCTCATGAAATAAAAAGCTGTAAAGTTTTAAACTGTAAAGTATAACAGTTCTTTGAAACAACAGATTGGATGTTGACCTGTAATAGTCTGCAAACATGCATATACTTCTACCATATTTTCGGATTTAGAACGATAACATGCGCCACAGAAAGCCTAGCTAATTCGATCTCATTAATAACCAGTGATTAAATAAAATCGACTATAGCATCGCATAAGTGATTAAGTATGATATAAAAATGCAACAAAAATTTTAAAATTTGAGTTAAAAGATTGAATGAAGCGTAATTTTCTTGCTCACAGATCAATCTTTTAGAATAAGTGTCCATTATTTCATCAGTTAATATGGAGCATTATGAGGAATATCAGAAATGTTAACACAACACTAATACGAAAAGTTAAGGCAATAACAAATAAGTTTCCAACATATCAATGTAGAAAAAAACTCTGTTATTAAAAATCACCAACATCGATCACCAATTTTCATTTCCATCAGCTTCTGCAATTAATCACATTTATTCCATTTATACCGCGAAATGCAAAACCAAACTATAATTTATCAATTAAATTGAAATAGGCAAATGGACAATATATATTACCCTTAATAATGTCAAGTATAGTTATATATTGAAATGTCCAATGTAATTATATATTGAAATACTGAATAAAATATATGCATATATTTTCTATGAAAATCATTGTATATTTCTCATTATTTTACATATTTGAAGCTTTTTTCTATTTTAAGTAATATTTATGAAATATCATAAAGTAATTGATGCAGAAATGATGTTTCTCTTTCATCCATCGATATCATTCGTAAAAAGGAAAAGAAAAGGCATTCATATTTCATTATGTATCAAAGAGGCAAAAGTAGCAACTAAAAAAAATTTACATCCAATTTATTCTTTTTATTTCGCCCTTCCCATATTTTCTAACCTAATTTTCTGATAATGTTGAGTTTGCTTCTTATTTATTTTTTTCACATTCCAAATAAGCTTCTGATTTCAATTTATTTGCAAACTTGCAAATTGTTAAAAGTGAAAAACATCAGTAGATCTTACGCGCACTTGGAAATAAAGAAAAAGATGTAATGCGATAAAAGAAATAAAGCGCTATCAGTAATACTAGTAGTTATCAGCATCAGATTATTTAAAGGAAGTATGTCTTTCATCGGTAACATAAATGCATGCTGAATAGATAGCCATAAACGCAATTGCTAAAGGGACCTAAAATGCGAACAGTTATTGATACCATCACCCAGTAATTGCTAGAATGTTAATAGTTGCAAATCATTTGAACTTATCGGTCAACATACACGAATATCTTCCCGCCTTCTTTTGAGGCTTCTGCTCAAAAAGTTCATTCAAAAAAAGTTGTAAAAAAAAGTTAGTAAAAAAGTTACCGTGTGTTACCGTGCTGCCACTAATTTTATGCTGAGAAAGATCGAGATTTGTGTATGAAAATTACAGAAAAACAGAAAATCGTAGAAGAGACGGTAGGGAGTAATAAATTTATTATTTCAAATTTCATCGGGAATGTCCATATTTGAACCATATATGTTATTTTCAAAATTTAAAACTAGTTTTTTGGAAGTATCACAATCCTAATTTACTAAAAATGAACTTAATAATTCTTCTAGTAAAATAAATAAATTTGAAGCACAGAATTACTTCCAAAAATTAATTGGTTTTTAATAGATATAAAATTATATGCATCAAAATAAGATTTATTTAAAATTGGAATCACTCAACACTATTACTGCTAACCTTTCCAAAGTTACACCTGCCAAAACTTGCATTGTTATTTGCAAGTGAAATTATTTCTTAATGTTTGTTCACCATCTAACAGTGAAAGGAACTAATGAATAGAATTAATAGCCGTCTCAAAATGCATTTTAATCTAAATAGAATTAAACAAAATCAAACGTAAAAAAGTAAAAAAAGCTGCATGAAAAAGAAAGCAAAAACTGTCCAAGAAACAGGATATACCCGAATATGCAAAATCATCAAAGTCTCCATTATGAAACTATTTATCACCTTTGAAGTTAACATAATCAAAACCTTCCCTGATATTTGCAACTGCAATTAAAACGTTTTTAATTATGCTATTTGTCAACTTATTTTTTGAAAGTTCGACTGTTTTTGCTTTGAAAGTAATAAAAAGATGAGTCCAGATTGCTGAAAAAACCAGCGTAAACAAGCTGCCTCACCTCTTATGAATTAAAAATTCCCTATATGAATGATTTAATCAATTTCAACTACAAATGAGACACAAGGTTTTGAATAAAATCAATCAAAGTAAGAGAAAGTCCTTACGTCCAATTTTCGAAAATCCTTCTTTGAATTTGCCGGCAAAATCATTGTCATCAGATCCTGAAAATCTGGGAATCCCAATTCAAGCTCAATAAAAATTTTTTATGCAAAAATAAAATGATTACAAAACAAATAATTTTGAAAATCCAAAATACGTAGATAATTTTTCTCATATTTTAATTAACATCATGTCTTTAATATTTTAATCAGTATCATTCTTTTCTATCTGGAAATTTATCTTTTGCTCAAAAACAAGACTCTAAAGCATACGTCGATTCTCCATATAATCAGCTCCTCCAATGCGATCATTAGCGATATCAAGAAGAAAATCCGGAGGTATTTGTTGCACTTCTCGAACCACCTAAATCAACGCATATTTCCATTTTTAACAGAAATATTTTCAACTATTTTTCAGTGATCAATCATTATTATAATAATTAACAAGTATTTATAAAAATTTAGCAAATATATAAAAACAGGAAATTAAAAAGTCAACACCATTTGCACTCTCCCCACATAGCTTATATATGAAAGTGATTATACCTGAACAATATCGGCAATCAAAGTCGGATCTTGTTCACCCAGATTGATGAATGATGTCGCTTTACCTCGGTGGAGACGACCAGTACGCCCAATACGATGTACATAAGTTACACGATCCTTTGGCATGTCATAATTTATCACCTTAAAAGAAATCAAAAAAAGATGTATATATATGTATATCTATCTAACTCATGTGTTACAGAAGGTTTTTTACGCAATCTGAAAAAATTGAAATGAAACAATCTACGTAATTAGGGAACATAACATCCCAGTATGCGATCAGGGAATAGTGAATATAGAAATGTAAGTAATATCAAACGAAGCATATGAACTAACATGCTGAAGATCTTTGACATCAATACCGCGCGCGCAAACATCAGTAGCAACCAGGACATTAATATTACCCTTCCGAAAATCTGCTAATGCTTCTTCGCGCTGTTTCTGCACGCGATCTCTGCAAAGTAAGATTTTTTTTCTCTTTGGACAAAACATTTAATATTTCAGTATAAAACACTTATTTAGCATAAACCACAATCATTTAGTAAAAATATCACTTTATCATGTAGTATCATTTAGTTTAAAAAAAAAATACCATTTAGTAAAAATATCACCAAAAGCACCTCATAAGATTAGGGAAATGGAAATTTTTTAAGCCTCTCAAATTTATTACAAGAGAACTATCATAAATGCAAACATACTATGGATACATCTCTTAAACTTCAGCATGACCTAAATCTAAATCTTCATATAAAGACAAATTTCAATCACTAATCCAGAACATTACCCACTAATACTGCTCGATCGTATATTTTTCTGAACAAGATTTAAAGCTATAACATCAGCCATCTGTTTCCGTTCAACAAAAACCAAAGTACGTGATACATCACCATTATTCGCTTTATCTTCTTCTAATAATTGTATCAGTTTGTCAAATTTATTTTCTGATGTAACCTGCAACAAAAAAATGTCATTCTCGTAAAAGTTATGAAATCTTGTTATAGATCAAATTGAAAAGTGAAATATCAAATTGATGACACTTAACTAACCTCAATAAAATTCTGCTCAACAAGAGGATTAGCTGCAGTAACTTTACCGTTTGATACAAATGCATGGTTTTCTTTCAAAACTTTTGCTGCTAACTCCTGTACTTCTCGTGTAAACGTGGCACTAAACAACAAAGTTTGTCGATCCTTTACCTATAAAATATGATATTTTTAATTTACGAAGCCGATAAAATTCGTCCAGGAAACTCAGGCATATGTCTGAACAAATCGAATAATTTACTCCTAAGCAATGTTATATTTACATCCATGCTTTTCAATACATTTCTACATTTTTTGGGAAATTTCACTAAAACAGAATGCTATTTGCACAAAGTTACCGATGGAAAACTAGGATTGTGAATGAGACTCATAATATCCGTTTGAAACGAATCTTGACCAAGCATACGATCGGCTTCATCTAGCACAAGAAATCGTATGTTGTGCAACTTCACCTAAATTTTCTCTAAGTAATGGCACCAATAAGAATACATCGGCTGAAGCATTTCTCCTCCAGAAAAACCATTCATATCAGATATTTAACAAAATATTCTCATATCGATTAACAAAATAATTCTAAAATTTGAACTTGCATTGAAATGCCGCAAATATAACAATATTTAAATTATGCTCCAATGTTACGGATATCTAACCATGCAATGGTATCACTTCACAAAATCTTGTCAAATTGCCATTACAATAACTTATGTGATTAATGTATCATTACGTGTAACACTCAATCTTAATTTTCGCATCTCAACAAAACTTAGGTTCTTTGAAGAAAAAATATTGATGTGACAAAGTAGAATCTCCAACATCAAATCTGCAAATATCATTTGGTTCAAGCTGGCACCTTCCTATGCTCCACGAAATCTATCAATCTACCCATAGTCGCAAACAGCATATTGCAACCTCTTTCCAGTTCCATTATATTTTCAACGAACTTGTATTGCCCATATGCTTTTGCTACTGTTACACCAGTCCCTGAAAGTCACACCACAGAAGTAAATTCGGATTCACATGCAGGAATGATAGTAACAAGTACACGAAATAATTCAAGCAAGATTTTGACAAATGGAAGTGATGAAGGCTGCACACGAACAGCAGCTGAAATTGAATCCGCTAATATCAAAATAGCCACGTCACTTATAATAAGAAGTACTTTTGAAAGCATCTTGACAATACAAAGGATGATTTAACATCCCGAACAGAGAAGCATTTAAATATTCTGGCCTAGCTAGAGATTGCCCGATTTCTGAGAAAACCTATGTCTAAGTTACATAACGATAAATGTCAAATAAAATCTAAAGATTTCTCGCAGCAAATAGCACCCGAAATTTCAAAATTTTCCGCAATCATAATCATACTCCTGCTTCCCAAGTTTGGTTTACTGCGAATCATCGATTACGTAAATTATGACAAAGAACCATACCATCGGCGAATTTTCTAGATTGATTGTATAATTGTCCGACCAATTCACGTGTTGGTGCTAGTATCAAAGCAATTGGAGAGCATTTTGAATCAATCGGTTCACCATTTTTCATGATGTGATTGATAATTGGTAAAACAAATGCGGCCGTTTTGCCACTACCTGTTTCGGCATGCCCAATCATATCCAAGCCTTAAGAAAACAGATCTTGCCCTATTAAAAGAATTGATAACTGAATAAATAACATATCAAAACATCTTGGCAGTCATGTATATTTTTCTACACATATATATGTATCTATGCATGTGTGCAAATAAAATGAAATGATTCCCGATTCGATTTAAGCTGCTTAAAAGTTATGATATTCATTTCAAATTCAATGCATTAACCATTCTGTACAAGTGGAATAACAGCAGCCTGAATACTCCGCGGTTTTGAATAGCATGATTTCTCGATAATATTACGCAACAACAAATCTCCAAAACCTGCGTTTTTCCAATCACTGAAAATGAAAGTAAACCTTGTTTCATAACGGCAATTATTTAATTTTAATATAAAATTAAACCATAAGTTTCATATTAAACCTGACTGCTGTACCACCACTCGCTGGTACTATAAAGTATGTGAAACCCATGATCAATTCTACATAAACTTACTCTAATTTCAGTAATTTCTGGAATTTTGGAACTCCTGTTATTTTGACTTCTTGATCCAAATCATCTGTCTGCAATGAAAATTCTAAGATGCAAGAGCACTGTAAAGCATTAAGTCCAGTGAGCTGATCCTGTCTAGGTATTTAAAAAATATCAGCAAAAACCCAATTACTTACAAGTCAGCTAAAGGTGCGCCTGAGAATTAAAGTTTCACTTCACACATTTATAAAGATAGATCTTATTCCTCATCTCTTTTCGCCCCATAGCTAGAAAAATAAAATCCTGCGCTACTTGAAAAATGAGAAAAAAATAAAAAATGAAAAATGAGAAAAAACAGTGACCTCATATTTTGCATTCTCCGCATCTTCTTTATACATTTCTTCGATAGATCGATCTTCTGGAACATGAGACGTGAAGCGAACAGACCCAACTGAAATAAAGTTTGTAGAGTACTTATGAACTATCGCATATTTCAAAGTGTCAAACTCAATTTAATTAAATAATCAAAACCTCTCTTTTTACATCCATTAACGTACCTCCATCTTCGAATACGCGGTCGCCAAAACTAGTTCTTCTACCCCTCTAAAAACATTATTTGTTAGAACTTTATCACGAAAAGCAATGGCAAAAACCGTTTTTTCCATTTTGCAAAGAAAACATGCGAAGCAAAATTCTATGCCATTTATTTCTATTTTTCGCCCAACTCACCTTTCCTTGAACTGGATTATGCACCTTCTGTTCTAAATACTCTGCCCGATGTTAGCCATTTGATAGTTAGTTATTTGGACAAAACATAATGAGTATACTAAACTATTATAGCAACAACTGCAAAATGAAAATTTTCAAAACTAAATTCAAAATGACTTACGTTTAAATTCCATAAATGACCATTCCCTATAAAATATTACATCACTATAAATTTCTATAAATTTGTTTATTTCTATAAATTTGCAGAACTAATACAGAAACAATTTGTCGATAAATGGCTAAAAACAAAAAATTTGAAATATTGGCTAACAAAAATTCTACTGAAAACTCCCTCAAAAAGAAAATTATCGAAATTACTTCGCAATAACTTAAAACCGCATTTGACAGTGCTCCCACAACATCTACCATTATCAACACCTTAGTAAGTCACCCAAATTTTTATGCAATTAACTGGACTTCATAAAATATTCCGGACTCCATTATTTTAGACAAGTAAATAAATCAATAAGGAATTAAAGGGAAATCATACCATACATTCTTCGATTATTACTTCGTCTATCACTCCAATCACTATTGAAATTAGAACGATCAAATCCCATTTTTCCTGTAATTGCTCTCAATTACGGAGGAAACTCCGTCAAATGGATTTATTGTTACCCAGGAAATAAGCTACCAAAAATAGGTATGCATATCCAAAATATCCGGTTTCGTATGTAGGTTGTCTAAATTGTGCACGATGAAAAAAACGATTTTTTTATTGCATTGGAGCCTATGAGATGCGGAACACATAATTTCAGCTAAATAAAAATTCAATTTATATTATAGAAAATCTAAAACAAGTATTTTAATTATGTTTAAGCAATACCTTCACTACTGCAACCACTATTAAAATCGTCCCGAGCGACGAAAGAAGTTTCCTCAGTATCAGTTCTGCTAGCAAAATCTTCAAAACCACTATTGTTATAATCGTTATCAAGGCCATGAGTACTGCGGCTACCTCGTCCACTTGGAAATTTGCTGTATTCATTACCGAATTTACCAAAGCTTTCATTTCTGCCATTGTGAAAATTGTCCCTCATGGCACGGAATCTTCGGAAGTTGTTGGAGAAAATGCGATCTCCTCTGAATCCATGGTTGCGATTTGCAAAATCTTCAGAGTCACTATCATTACTGAAACCACCAAAGCCACCGCGGCGACCACCAGAAAATCCACCAGTATAGTCGCCGTCACCAAAATTATTACTGTCGTCCAAATTGCTACCAGCATCGAAACCACCACCACGGCCCCCGCCACTTCTTGAAGATCCTCTCTTCTCATTATTATCTGGTAAGAAACCACTACCCCTACCACCATATCTTGATGAAAATCCACCACGGCTTCCAGTTGACAATCCGCAAAAAAACTCGCTTCTACGACCGCATGAATATTCATTGTCATCATTATTGCGATCTCTAGAAAAACTACGACCATGACTTCCACGACAGCCGCGGTCACCAATATAATCTTCACTCGGAAAACCAGAATCTGAATTGGGAATTCAAAATTTATTTTTTAACCCTCCATCATCTATAACATAAAACTCTCGGAAACCATTTCCACCGCAATCTTAAATGCAATACGGAATATGGTTAAGCTATACAAAGTGTTGGATAAAAGATTAAAATCACTGGGAAAAAATAAGAGCAGATAACTAGCGAGAAGCAATGAATATTTAATTGTTGCTACCTTGATCACTTTTAAAGTATTTCACGCTATTTCCTCGAGTATTACGATTATGATTGATAAAATTGTTTCCTCCTAAAATGTGTATCAATTTAGCTATGTGTCAATTTCAACAAATAAAACTTCTATATATACATATATAATTGATGAAATATAGATCACCATAAAACAACAAAAAATCATTTAAACCACTTCCAAATAAGTGACATCAAAGGAGTTTAAAGAAATCGTATAAGTACACAAATCTATATCACCCCGAATTATAAGGGATACATGCTTATTTCAGTCAACAGCAGCGCCAAAAAACGCTGAAGTTATATAGAAACATTTAAACTAAATCAAGACCCTCAACATCGAAATTAATGGTGCTTTTGACTTCCTGCCCACTCATGTGAAGTCACCTCTTGCATGAACTTACTTAAAACATACTTGTTGGAGCAAAAGAATCCCGCGCACCATTATTTCCATCACGATTTCCTTCAATTTTATTATTGACCTGCAAAATCCGCAAAATCGTTTCAAACTCGTTTAAATCTTCAAGCATAATTACCTACATACTGTAAGATCGACCACAATAAGTTTTCACGGATTGAATAATACCACAATTTACGTATCGCTGCAATCTCATTTTATTCTGCGTGGTGGGTATATAAAATATAAAACACACCATTAAATTTTATTTAAATTTTAATTTTATTTTATTTAAATTTTATTTATATTTTATTTAAATTGTTACAAAATTATAACAACCACTGTTCACTGCATAAATTTTTTGAACACTAAAATTGATACAGTACCCGAGCAAAATGTGGTCCTGGAAAGTATGAACTGTCAATTTCCTGCTCGACAATTCTCCTGAAGTTTTAATATGATTTGTTAAAAAAATTGATCAACATTTTCCTTTCAAAAATTAATATCATTATAATTCAGTCAAACAAAAATTATCAATAAAAGAAAATTGGAGCAAGAATCATGTTTTAGGAAAAAAGAACTGAAAACAATTCGAACAATATATATACAAAATAACTTAAATTAGGAATTCAAACAAGAAGTAAAAATGGCTCATGCATACACGTAGCTTAATACATTATTTATTTGATATATGTTGAAAAATATCGAGTACTTTACCAATTACTTATTAGATACGAACAGAATATCACAGAAAGAAATGAGCGAAATCGTGACCATACCACTCTTTCCTTGACTAGGTATGTTAATATGAAAAACTGATAAGATTTATCGCGAAAGAAATAGCACTGAAGCACTGCTTATCGGAACCTTATCGGAATGGTTTACTGCTTCCGCAAAACTTAATCATATCCACTATATTTAAAGATTAAAATACTGCCGGTTTGAATTCGTTAAACGTTCTTTTTTGATCAAGTATCAAAAGAAACACATTCTCATCCATATCTACAATTTAATCAAATTTGAAACTAAAAAATAAAAACAAAAAAACATACCCTCGTCCAAATCCGCCGCTCATTGCGATAGATAAGATGTTGTATCAATTGATGATAACTTTTTTTATAGCGTGAACTGGAAGAAAAGCAATACTTTTCATGAACTGTTGAAAACAAATCTATTATCAACGTGACTCACTTTAAAACATTAAGTTTATGCATTTTGCCAACTTTCAAACGTCAGTTTGAAGTAGAAAAATGCATATCGGAACTGGCAAAAAATTGCTATAGTTTGAAGTACGGCGCTACATATGGAATTTGGATCACTCTATTGAAACAAAATATATATACCTACACGTTGATTGACAAAATTTAGATACAATCTTACATCGTATATCAATTAAGGTATATATAAACGATGCGAACATTGGCGGAATCGATTGCATATAACTCAAAGATATTTATTATTTCATCTACATAAAAACATCTATACAACTCTACATAAAAACACTTTCAATATAATAAAAAACATCTCTTTAATAAAAATTTGATTAAATTAATATTTAACAAATCAGTATAAATAGCTAAAAATATAACAGATCAAATAATTTATAAATAGCTAAATGATGAATGTCATACTTATCAATAACAGATTTCAAATTAATTAGATTTGAAATTTAATTAAATAATAATTAATACAACAAATCAAATAAACCATACATACATAGTTAACCAATACATGCTAAACTTACCAGTCAATAGAAATAATCGTTACTTCTAACGCACAAAATGCACTACCGATGTGAATGAATCAAAATATGTAAATGCAATAATGATAATGTGCAAATGAAATATGATGACGTGCAAATGGAATATGATGACGTGCAAATTTAATGTGATGATGTGCAAATGCGCGATATTATAGATAGGGAAGAACAAAAGATGCAATGTAACAGGGAAAGCTATCAACGTTTGGAGCTCATCTGTTATGCATTTTCTCCCAGAACATACCAATACATTACAATATATTACACTCTTATATCAAATCTAATAACAAATAAAATTGAAAATTTTCAAAAAAAATTGCCGGATTATCTCACACTTTCCGGATCACGCAAAGTTGAATAAATCAGAAATGGTCACAAAAAAACGATAGGTAATATCACGTTATTGATGAGAGAAAAAAAGTATTACGGCAGCATGAGAGATATAGAACGTAGGATACGTTAGTGTGAGAAAGAAAGAAAAGTGTATAGCATACGATACCTAGGAGTTCTCGGAAGGTTCAAGAAGTTTATTTTGGGAAGCTTTCTTTTCAGTTTTTGTTCGAAGTTTCTGAAGGATTAAAAGAAGAAAGGATTTTGTATCAGAATGTTAGAAATTTTAACATTTCTGTGTGCTATTCGTAGGAAAACGTTATGTTCAGCTTTAGAATTCCTTAGTTTAACATATCTATTACATATATATAAGCAGAGAAAGTTAATTACGGGAACACGTTGTGCTGTTTTATCTAAAATCAAATGTATTTATAATGGCTGAATTCATGTTTATCACTGGGTGGTATTATTTCTTCACATGGTAAGGGAAAAATCATGAAAAACACATGCCTCTTAAACAGAGAGACAGATATTGCTAAAGATAGGACAGAGCAGGAAATCTTGTAGGGAAAATTAATATATTGATTGGTGATTGCACTTTTGTATAAGTATATTAGATGCAAAACTGAAGATTCTTTCTAATAATTCAGATGTTGAAATATAATATCAAATGATGGATATTATTGTTCACGTACGATTATCGTAATTCCTTCTTTGGTCTAAATTTTTGCTGTAGGGATTATTTTGTTAATAAAAGTAGCTCAAATAATATGAGGCAAGTATAAATTTCAAATTTCTTATTTAATTCAATCAAATTTCTTTTTAGCTTAAATACCGGATTGCTTTAGTGAAGTTTAGCATTAGCAATTTTTGTTTAGCTTATGTGATATATCATTTTACTTCCGTATTTATTCTGATGAAAGAAATCAAAGCAATGTTGTATAAACAAGTTGAAAAAGTTCAAGCTCGGGTTCAGTTTGAGATCAAACTTTCTAGGAAATAATTTTTACGTTCTTTTTCTACGTTTTTTTTTGTATACAATATCACAACAAAAAATCAATGAAAGAAATCAGATTTGCTTCTTACAGTAACTTTTTTAATCAATTTTAGTACAAAAAGAAATGCTGATAAAAATACTTGTAAAGATATGAAGTGAATAAAGTATAACTAATTTGATGATCATAACTTTTTTACTCATTTCATATCATTTTTACTTTTATAGCATATGTAAACGATAACGGTTATTTGTCTCCAGAAAAACTTTAACGAATTTTGCAAATGCTGAATGAAAAAGTAAATGTGAATCTGTTTCACTTCTCAATAAGACAATGATATCATATCGTGATAAATCATCGCGATATTTGCGTACATATCCATGTCTTCAAAAAGTAAATATGAGTTTATATAAGCTTTTGTTGATATATACTAATCATCGTAACGTCGTAAATGCGTAATTGATTAATTGGTGTAAATATCCGAAAAATAAAAAAAAACTGTTAATGTTTGTAAAATTTCAGTGCGTCGTAAATGTTTGGTGCTGGACAACAAGCATCGTCGACAGCTCAACCAACGGGTGTTAACATTGCTATAGAAGCTGGTTCGGAATGGGGGATTCAGGAAATCGGTTTTGATGGAGTTGAAAAATACATGAGGTATTTATTCTATTACTTCATGTTTTGAAGAAACGGAAATCTTTTTGATAAATCCCAAGTGCAAATTTGTCAATGGATTGTTCTATGGCTGATTGATTCTTTTATCGATAGATAAAACTTCATGGCATATATTTCCGGCAACTTATAATCGCATAAGTTTATCTTGCAGTAATAGTGCTTAATATTTAATGATGAGTGCTATAGGCTGTGATTAGTTGGTAGTGTTTTGTAATGGAGGAATACAGTTCGTCGAAGTGGATTTAAATTTTTTTAATATTTCTGTTGCATAGATATCTTAACCATCGGTTAAGGTACTTCAGCGTGTTATTAGCGGGTTAAAAGGATGGAATCGAAGTCTTTAATTCAAAGGCTAACTTTCAATAAATTTCGAACTTGTTTGATCTCTGATCATCGACACAACCTTATATTGATTTGAGAGAATTTTGAATTTGATTTATTGCGGATATCAGATACGAGTTAATTCATTTTGCATTTGAAATATCTGTTTTCAGACCATTGGACTATTCTGATCATGTAGCAAAATTAGCTCGTAAAGTGGATTGGCGAAAATTAATCGGTGCAGAAGCCACGTACGATAATCCAGATGCGTTACCACGTGATGATGGAGAAGAGCTAGAAGAGAAGGAACCAGAAGAAGTAGTCATTGGAATGGAAGATCGTAAAACTCCAGAAGCTGGACCGTGGCATACTGTTGCAAAATACTTACAGTAAGTAACGATTCTGAGCAATTACATCAAACTCATGGGTTTCGGAAAAGTTAGGAAGTTTTAATTGACCATTGATTTTGGTCATTTATTTGATAGTTTTTTTTCCCTTCCTAAGTTATGTAAGCATCGCACTATAGATTCGTTGTCGAGAATTAGTTGAGCCTTGTCACACATTATTATGACTGCTGAGATTTTGTTGAAATACGATGGGATGCAGAGCACAGCTTATTCTTTTAATAATGTTATTAACAATTCTGTTATGAAATTTTGTTTCATTTTGCTTTTATATTTTTGTAGCGAAGCACTACAGCAAGTAAATGTTCTGGTAGATACGATCTCGGTATTAAAAACACCGTATATGGAAGCACTGACAGTTGCGGATGCATTTGAAGTTCAGCATAACATGCAGGATGTGATACAGCAATCCAAACAGTTCCAGTGGGTTACGCGGCGTAAAGCTCTTGGTGAAGCAATCGGTGTTTTAGAGCAAGCTCAAAAATTCCGTTCAAAACTTCTTATCGAAACTGATCCTGATAAAGCGATGTTTTTTCGTGAGCTAGAAAAAATGAGGGAGTTATGGAGAGTGAGAAAAACAGGAAATGTTACTTATGGCGATCTCGGCTATAAAATGTGTTAGTGATATCAATCAACCTCGATATTTTCATTCTCTCTCCATCTTACTTGCAAAAGAACTGCAGAAGTTTCCTGTCGTCCTTATCTTTTTAACCTTCTTATCCGAACGTTATCTTCAAGAAGTCTTTTTCTACAATCTAACCCTTTCATAACCATCCATTTCGTTGAGGGACATGCGGAGTCCTTTCTAGCACTTATTTGCAGTTGGATCGAAATACAATCCGAAAGAATTATTTGATATCACTCGACGTACTGCAACATCTCTTAGCGATGATGATGCAAGCTCTTCAACACGACCGGATTCATGTCTGCAAGTTCAAGTACCATGTGATTTGATTCGTCGCTCTACCATTGCTGTTTCTATTGAAATTGGTTAGTTTATACTCGTTTATGATGCAGCAAGCTCTGTTTGTAGAAGTCATTTTTTAAAACCTCTTTTTTGCAGTCCTTATAGTTATAATTTTAATTGCTACTAGCTTTTATTTCGCATACTTGAGCAATTAAATTTAGGACCTAGTCAGTCAATATGAAAATTTAGATTTACAGCATCTGATAGATCAACCAAAGGACATGTTCCAGTCTATAATTAAGTAACTAACTTATCAATAACTAACATGATTATATTAAGTAAAATAATGAAATAAATGGTGATGTCCCATCTAGTAGACTACTGCTGCTCAGGAACTGCAGTGACAAGTGCACTCTTTTTTGTGATAGCGATAATTTAAACAGGGCAAGAACGCGTTTGGAATGATAAATTTCATAAAAATGTATTTAGCCTGCCGAAATCCTTCCTTTAATTAATTAGTGATTTTAGATAATGACGATCCGAAAACTTTGTTTGCAACTGCCGAAAATGATTTAGATTATATGAAAGTCGACAGAGAGCAGGCAATGGCAGTACATTGGTCAAGAGCATTACAATGGGCACAGGAGAGTTTGTTATGCAGAGATATCTTTAAGCAGGTTTGTTTGAAATTTCATAATTTTCAAATTTTTTAACAATTTAAATAGAATCATAACAATGGGCCAAATGCTTATAATTTCAGTCTTTTATTGTTTCTTAACTTCACTCTCCTGTCTATCCTAGATAGTTTTATTGTGTAGAAAGCTTCAAATACTATTGTTCTAATTTTAACGCAGAATACTGAATGTAGATATTTTATGAATAAGTTCAATTGCAAATTTCATACTGTTTTGTTCTATTTTTCTCCAATCATTTTTAGCTATAAATTATGAGAGTGTGTTCCAGTTATGTAAAGATGCAGTTATTCTGAAGGATCATATAACGGTAATTCGTGATGGTGTATTAATCGCTTCGTTATTCGATAATATTTTGTTGCGAGTAGAATTGGCATTTCATCCATTTGAAGATGGTAAAGATAATCATGGTGTCATTTGTCATAGTTTTAAACAAATGGAACTCTGAAATTTGAGTGTATTCACAATATACTTCAGTTTCAAATTTTTTCAGTTGAATCTAGAGCTAAATATTGCGAGAAGCTTGCAAAGAAATTAATTTCATTAATTCAGGCCCTTTACCTACTGCGGGCGATGATTATTTGAATCGCGCCCTTCGTCAGTTATTTGTAAGCGATTTGTGCGCACGTAATATACGTCACCAGACGTTTGTAGCTATGCCATTGTCGACATTACCGAGCACGCTTGATTTGCGAGGACCATATGCTATGACGGATGAAGAGGTATAATTTGATTAATATTCGGTAATCTGAATTACGGAAATAAGTGATTATGTGCATATAATTCGGTGTTAGCAATTGATTTGAAAACATCCGTTCCAGTTGCAGTTTTGTTTTTTAGTTCAATTTTATTTAAAAGTTTTGACTTACTTCTCATACCTTAGCGACCAATTAAACATCATGGAGGTATGACGAAACTGGTGCGATGAATTCAAGAAAACAATTAATAAGCTGATATGATTTTCATATCTATGTCGGGCATGTAAATGCCATTGTCTTGAGACAACTAGATCGATATTAACAAATATATAATCCCTTCCAACTTTCAGATTGAATCACGTTTAAGGCAAAAGCGTACTTTGTTAGGACGACTGCTTTTACTGGCATCTCATTTCGTTCTAACAAATCGGGTTACGACTTCATTAAAGCGATATTTGCTTCGTGTTACGGATCCTCAGGTTGAAAAAGAGAATACATTTTGAAGCTTTGAAAATTTCTGAAAATCGCTTGCTGAAAGCTCTTTCAAGCAAGATTATTTCAGGTCATGTGGAAATGGCTTCGTGCTACACCCGTTCAGTCATCAATTATTGTTACTGCATCCAATAGGAATTACGACTATGCCGGAAAGTACATATTTAGTTTTGAAACTTGCTTAATATTGTAAAATAAAATCTTAAATAGCATTCAGATTGTATACTAAGTCTTGAGTTCTTTCTCCCTCCATAGTGGTTTTATACTAAAATTTGCTTTATATAAGCTTATTTTAAGGACAACATTTTATATACGAATTGGGGCAGAGAACTTTTATATCGCGACAAAAGAAGGCCAAAATATCGAATGTAGAAGAGATGATGAAATGCTTCTTTATACGATTGACATGCTGGTAACGTTGGATCTTGATTTTTTTATGCGGAAAATAAAATTTCAAATTTATTTTGACTGGATACAAGTTAAAAAAGTTTCATTCTAGACCAGAGGAAGAACTTTGAAGAACTATTTGTTCATCCTAGAAAAAGATAAATATGCGAAGCGAAAATTAATTGCAACTTATTCCTGACATTGTTATTGCAAAATTCGTCCTTCTTTATATAAAAAGCTTTAAGTTCAGATTTGCAATTACATGTTGAATACAGTGGCGATGATAGCTAGCAAATTATGGCAGTGGCAAGTACTTCATGCAAATATCAATGCAACGGATGATCGAGCGGAACCGAGTCCTACCGTCTACATGTGCAATCAGAGTGCTACTCGGTATGTTCCGTTCCTATTATTGATCTATACGATTTTCTCTTTTCTTTTTTTTCAAATGATAGCTTCCTTAAATTGAATGCATTACTAGCCATTATAGAAAAAGATTTGATGTATATCTTAAAAAAGTATTTCAAACAGTATTTTAATGGTATGTGTTCAGTACTTCATACTAGATAGCTCCTGATCAAAAAAGATTATCCACATCGGCAAATATGCATTCCCTATAAACGCAAAGTTTCGAAGGGGAGTTAAAGTACTCTTATCTATGTTGTAGTAAATTGTTCCCATTTTAACAATCTAGTACGAAGCACTGGATAACAGTAGGGCGAAGTGCACTTTAACTCCGCTTTTCGAAATTTCACCCTTTTTTCAGAATTTCAATTTTTTAGGTTACCGAGAAAAGGGACATATATCATTTATGAGTTGAGATAGGGTATTTCAGTGCAATTTTCATGCAATTTCATTTAAATGAACCGCCAACAATCCGCATCCGGAAATGTGTGCCAAATAAACCAGCAGCTGCCGAGAAACCAGGAGAATTCCTGGTTCTGAATTACGACCGATTGGTAGGATCGTCGCTATGCCGGAAAATAGATAATTTATGCTCAATGTTGAGGAGTTGATTTTATTTCGGTTTTTTTTTTTGTTACTGCGGTCAGTTGGTAGTGTTAAAACTCGACATCTTACCTAGATGATTGAAATTTACATTGTCTTGTTGGCAAGAAGGAATGTAAAAAGAATCAGAAATAAGGGCAGCAGAGTTATTTTGAACAAACCAGTCATTTTGTTCGGAAGATTTTTATATTGACTGTACTGAATAACTTGTATATTTCCACGTAAAGTTATATCTTTCCTCGTTCTGTTCCTATAAAAATTTTTATGTGTTCACTTGCTTCTGAATTGGAATTCGTGTCAAAATAAAAGAATTCAGAAGCCGTTCATATCAATATTTATCTTTTTAAAAATTGCAGTGAAGCTCCTTGTAACCATCTATGTTGACAATGATCTGATTATTTAAAGATGTGGAAACAAGAAAGGCGTGATGGAGAATCAGTAGGGCTGGAAGTCATCCAAGAGTATCTTCAAAATAGAGTTCTTAACAAAATAAGTCTTTCGTTTGATAATTTTTAGCAACATAAAACAATTTATACAAATTGCTGCAAAAAAGCAGAAAAGAAGGATGGTCTTTACCACATAAAACATTTTTGTTAGCAAAAGTAAAAAGAAAATTTACCAAAATAAGTGAAGGAAAACCTCTATATTTTTAATTTCATTTTACTAAATTAAAAGCGTAGAAGTTTCCCTTCGCTTATTTCCGACATAATATAATTAAATTTGAAGTTTGTGGAGTGGTAATCACCCTTTGAACGAGTTCAAAAAATCCCAAAAAAAGACCCAAGAGAAGGGACAGGAGTAACAATTTTTAACCGGTTGGTATTCAATCTTTTTTCCTTGAACGGTATGTTAACGAGAGATGGAAGTCACGATCCTAAGAGATCAACTAACGCCCGACATAATATAATTATTGAATTTCCAACTAGTATATGGAGTACCTTTTTTCGCTGTCCAATTTATTCAGATTTGCAAACTAACGGTTTCTAATTTTTACTTAGATATACGAGCCGGTGCTATAAACATACAACTTCGGACGGACAATTCTAGCAAGGCCACAAAAGTAAATCATTTCCACTCATTATCAGCTCTTTAATGCAAATAATAAATCCTAACGAGATATTCCCACTAATTAAAAATTTATGAAAAACCACAATTTATAGCTGTAATTCTTCCGCTTCCTACTTGTAACTTACTTTCTTAATGTAAAGTTGACTTTAACTTCAAGTTTCCACTAAAGTGAAGCTTGCTACATATTTCCAACCTTTTCACATTCCTTATGATAGAAATGGAAAAGTTTCTAAATAAGGAACCAATAATTACAAGCCATGAAAGCAACAAAACATCACATTCTCAATTCGGTTCGAAAACGTAATCATGACCACAATTACATATGGTTCTTGTGAACAGTCATGAATTTTTTTGACCACCTAATGAATTGCGCTTAGCTGCTGCAAGCTTACTTTGGTAGGCACTACATGGTCGTCGACTTGGAGAGGTCGACAGTGCTGTGACTGATGAAGTGGGACTAGAACCAGACGGCGATGCTGGCAGCGATGCTGATGAGACCTGAAATTAGCTAAATGGTCATCATTGCGGAATCTATGATGAAAGAATGATCTTCGAAAACTCCCTTTTTTCCCGAAAGCTTAAAAGGGAAGCGAACTGAATACTTAACAGTTATGACTTATTTATATCATAAATCTCACAAATCTCGTCCCAACAATCCATGATGACTGGCAGTTCTTTTTAAATCAAAGAAAAGGAATTTCCGATAACAGTGCAGATTTTAAGGATTAAAATTTAACAAAAAATTCATCCAAACTTCAGCAAAATATTTACTTCTAAATACTTTTGTATTGCATCAAATGCTGCAGATAACCGATCCAGCTGATCGGTTACTGTTCCCGTACAATCTTTCACCGGCTTAATAGCCATTTCCAATAAATTTTCCACTGATTCCGATAAATGTCCTTGATGAGAATTCCTGAAAGCGTGATATTTAATTTTTTATCTATTCTGTTAAACTTTTTGATGCCTAATATCATCTAATTTTCAGATAAAAATAAGTTTTGCTGAGTTGCTTGGTATACACCTAAAATAAATGGCTTATGTCACTGTTGAGCTGCTAATTAGAGAAGATATTCTTCGTAATCAAATAAACAATTAACATCACTAGATAAGAAATGAAGCAAAATCATTTGTTTACTTTATCAATTCGATGCTTCGATTACATTTCATTGTAAGTTGCTGTACAGCATTTTCAAGACCATCTATACGAGTCTAAAATTCTTTTTCTAAAAACTTTTTAATATTAAAAGTTTTTTTTACTTTCTCTAAATTTCTTCTTCCGAACAAAATTCACTAAAAAAAGAAAAATCTACTAGTCTAAAAAACAATATATATATATATATATATGTTTGCTTCTGAAATTCGAAAAAGTAGTCCAAGCAATATTTGCAGAAATGTACTAACTTGATCTTGGGTAGCTTCAACAGAACGTAATTTGTTCAAATCTCTCGTAACATCTTTTGAATAACTGACAAGAATTGTTTCCGGCCCACAAGCAGCATTATCGACTGATAAGTCATCTTGAGACCGATTGTGACGAACTTTGCTTGAATTTCGGACGATCTGCAAGACTACAATGTTAATCTTGAAGAAATTGAAGTCTGAAATGAACTTTCAATCTGTCTCAGAAGTCTAAATATTCAGGTATTCCAATTAATTTTATGGACATTAAAAAAATAAGTGGTAAGAAAACTGGAAGAATTTCAATTCGTACACAAAATAGGATTCAGAAAATGAAGAAACTCCTATATGTTAGAATAACAAGAAATGCATAATCTATCAATTATGTCAATGGTATCGACTTTCATACATGATCTTCATGAAATAATGAACAAACTACTTCATGAAAACTATATTATATATTAGAACTGAATGAATCAACAATACATGCAACATACAACTTCCGTCATAAAAATAACTTACCGGTGATACATTAGTAAAGGGTCGAGTTCCTTGATGAAAAGATATTGAACGATTTGAAGCAAATTTGTCGACTCTGAAATACAATTTGACATTGTCAAATCATTCACTCAAGAAACAAATATGTCTTCAAATGATAAAAAATCACAACAATAATGACAAACAATAAGGCTGTGAAATAGATTCATTATCATTATAGATTCATTAATTTCAAGACGATATATGTAATTTACATCCGTATCATTCATCTCCATTCTCAAAAGAAAACTTTGGCTAAAAAAGAATAAAAATATGTCTTCATCATTGCTATCAACAATGGAAACATATTTTTTACTTTCAAAACCATCTAGAGATTTTTCTGGCAGAATTTTAAAAATTTTGTTTAACACTGATTTCAGAAAAAAATTCAAGAAATATTCGAAAATTAGAAATTAGAAAACAAACCACTAGCAAAAACGACTAAGCTCTATCACGAATACAGTCGAATTTAACAACAAAAAGGATACATAACAAAGCAGTGATAACCATGCATCAAGTTAAAAAAAATTAAACACAATGACAATAAAATTTCGAAAAAGGCTTACTCCTTTTGGGAGTTCCGACATTCGTGAGAGATATTTTGCAAGCTAATATAAAAACAATTTTTTTTGCCAAAAAGATTAATTCCGAAAATTGTGTTAGTTCTTTACTACCATAAATTGCTTTGTAATCGACTGCACAAAAATTCAGATTTAGTGCTAAACAAATCATGGGATGGGTTTTTCAGCAAATACTTTATAATATTAGCTATTAGGATATTTCATTTAAATTCCCTTGTTATTGACAGCTTCACTTTTTCCCCACTTCATTAGAATAAAACTTTCCAGAAATAAAAATTTTGAAACTTGGGAACTGGAATTTGTTTCGAGTAAAAAGTGGAATGGAAGAAAATCAATGTCTAAAATGAAATAGCAAAATATGGCCGTTCCAAAAAAATAAAAATTTACCGTGTTTTCAGTTGCTGCAATTTCTTTGCTTCAGCTGCTGCTTTCATCGGATTATAATCCTTACGTCTTAGCCAAGCAGTCATTTCAGCACTTTCTTTTTGTACTTTTGTTCCACTTGTCTGAAATAGTTAACCGACAATATTTGAATATTTTTAGAATTCGAGAAAATCCATTTTATACAGTTCTTGATAAATTACGCAAATCGCAAGACAACTTAAAGAAAAGAATATTGAAATTTCAGTTATATCGATGTTACAAAATCAGCAAATGTATCAGGTAATACTTTGTTAACAAATATGATTAATACAACAAAGTTTCATGAAAACATCCGAACACTGTTATCAGTTAGCATCAGTCAAGTTTTTGTCAATTTTGCGGAAGACCATAATTTTCCCAAATGAGTAAACCTTCTCAGATGTATTTCACATTCGCTTATAAAATGAAGTCAATATATCCAAATTTGATCGTTTAGACAGAATTTACAAAAGTAAGTACTATTTTAAGTACTAAATATTATTTTAAGTATAACTTTAACTATAAATTGTTAGGGGATATTAAAAGTTCGCAAGATTGTTTCATACAAATAACAATGAAAGGTAGGAGCAAAATGTAATCAAAGTTAAACGTGATTGTAGTATTCTACTGCAAAATAAGTTTAAAATTTCAAACAAAATAGAAAATCAGGAAACAATTTTTACCTGATTTCTTGCACTACCTCCAACACGGAATGGTGGTCTCTCGTTCCGACTGACCGCAGCAGAAGTTGGATGAGTTTTAGTGTTAATACCAGAAAATCGCATCGAATATCGACCACCATCACCACGTCTAGAATTTCAAAAACAATGTAACGAAAACAATGTTCAAATTTTAACAAGTATAACAACAAATTAAGGAATTTTGAAAGAAAATTTGGAATGGCTCTCTTTACTCCTTTCTGTATAATACTGATTTTTAATAAGGTACATTCTGTTCCGCAGTGAATTTGAAGAAAATCTGGTATTAACGATACTTATATATATTAATAGTCCCTACATACTCGTAATGACCAAAACTAGCGGAAACACAAAAACAAAGGAACACATAAGCAACTCTACCACCCACACGTTCAAATAAGCGAAAAATAGCTGAAGTACAAATGTATGAAATTTCTTTCATTTAAAAAAAATAATGCTACAAAATCTCTGACAAAAACAGTGCAACATGTCTTTTTTGTCCTATAACAGATGACTGAACAAAACTTGGCTTGTATTCATAACAGAAGATAAATAGAAATTACATGTGAAATTATAAAAATTAATTTGAGAAACTCTTCCTTCAGCAGACGTCTTCCGTAAATTTAAATTCTGCTTATCCACTCTTAAAGAAATATCTATTTTCTCTCTCTAATTCTTTCTTTTTTGAATTTAGACGTATGAATAAGGACAATCTGCTGTTCAATAAATACGCGATAAATTTTAATAATTACTAACTAATGACCAACAATACTCAAATACGAATTCTTTTCTCGTTAAAGCATAGCATTAAAAACTTGACATATCTAACCACAGCAATTATTAGAAAATACATTTGCATGCAAACCACAAAATAAATAATAATGCAATACAAAAATACTCACGTTTCACTGCGACATCTTACTGTCCTGCTTTAAAGCGAGAAGAAAGATCTCAATAAGAAGTGATAAAAATTGGATTATCAAAGTTTGTTATTGATACAAATAAATTATTTTATGTAGTGGAAAGGGAAAAAATGAACTAGAAAAGTAATGCTAACTTTTTATTTGAATAAGGCACACTAAAAAAGAGCTGTGAAAATTTATTACACGCCATATCCAGAAGAAAAACCCCATTTATAGCATTACGATGCCGTTTCAACATTACATAGCAAGTATGATTAATCTGCATAGTTGGGCTTCCTTAGATCATTTGCGGCTATTCCCAGCATATCAGCATGTTACCGCAAGGATAGCTTTAAAAATTAAGCATAGCGTCAACGAGATACATATATGCCTCGATGATATGATCCGTCATAGCTATTATTGCCATATCATTTATCATATCATAGCAGATGTCTTGAAGTGGGATTGACATTATACAAGATTAAAAGAAAATAAACAGCAGTTACTGTTGCTTCATAGTTGTAATTACACAAGGCTTCTTAGCAAGGGAAATGAGTAAGATTTAGCATCAGTTATTAAAAGCAAGGGATGGTTGGTGGTACACAAATTCTTCTCAATTTATTGAATTCAAAAATAAATATATTTAAGAAAACTTAATCTATTCATAAAGAGCTAATAATTTCATACAACATTAATACCTGAAGTTATTATCATTTATTCCACTTGTTTGTGTACGATGCGTTTGGGATGAGAGTGATGCACGTGAAGAGGATGCCATAGTACATAAACGATGCGAACTGTGACGTTCCTCTGTCCTAGAAGTTTCTGGACGACGTGCAACCCCTACATGAGTTCCCGTTGCACCAGTTAGACGTGATGAATTCGAAAGTGGTGTAAATGGTGCAACAACTTGATGTTCACCGATATTGCGACGTTGACCAATTCGTCCGGAACTAAAGCGCAACAATTCACGCAAGAGATGTTCATTACTTTCTGTTCCACCACTCACATTTTCATTAATTTGAGGGAGGACCTGAAAAGGAAGTTCAGAAAGTATTTGCAAGTAAATAAGAAAAAAATTATCGAACTATTCAAAATGATGTTCGATTAATCGATTTACATTATTGTTAATACCAGAAAAATACATCGAATATCGACCACCATTACCGCACCCAGAATTTCATATAATCAAAAGGATAATTAAACACTAAAAAACTAAAAGAGATGGCCTTGAAGCAATCGAAAACTGGAAAAATTAATTACCGATCCCAAGCGCAATGGTACAGTAGGAACAACATTTTCCGTGCTTTGAGTTGTTGTCGATTCACTGAAAAACATATTCTAATGTTTCGAGAAACTAATATAGCCACAAATGATTAACAAAAATATATCCAATACTAGAGCTAATTAGCATGACTGCTCATTATAACGAAATATGAACATATTCCTATTCAAATTTGCAACAGGAAAGCGATACCTTGAAACACTTTCTGCATCGGAATCTTCGACAGTTTGGGAAATCACCATTTGATTCACATGATCATCATCTTAAAATACTCAAATTTAAAATTTAAAAGCTATCATGGACGAAAACAGCACCGTTGGAGGATGACAATGAAATATAAGAATGATGAGAAGCTCAAAATCACTGTTGATTGAAAAGTGTAGCTGATAATGAAGACAAAATCAATCAAAATGCAGCTGATCTGATCAAAGTGATGAAATGAATTAAGTAATGCGTAATTTTCATATTTGAAAAGAAATACTGCTGCAACCAAATATTAATAACAACAAGTTCCCTTGGATAAAAAAATTGCTTATTATTGATATCAATAAATATTCGGTACAGGTAAAGTTAATTCACTGAATACTCTTAAATATCTGCATATTTTATTAACAATTTACCGCTGACCAACAACATAAGTTCCTGCTTCGCTCAATGTATCGTCAGTATCTGGTTTCCTTCCTCCCTGTTCGCATGATGCAATCAGATCTGGTCCTTTATTGCGTTCTGAAAGATAACTTACAGCTGATATAAGGGATTTCGAAATAAGTTCAAGCTCAGTATTTCTTTCCTGTTTCAAGTTCACGAAATTTCAACCTTAACCTAAAAAATTACCAGAGAGCTTTGCTGTTTTAAATAAATTACAGAAGTTGCCATTAACCAAAGCTCTGAAATTTTCTGAAGAGTCACCACATCAAAATGTGATTACGAACTCAGCTTACACTCATCTATCTTAACAAAAACCAAGTAAATTTAAATTTGGATCTGTCCTACCTTCGCCAATTCCCATCAACATCTTATTCAGCAAATATTGTTTAGGATCAGTGGATGCAACTGTTAAACCAGCTATTTTTGCTGCAGTACCTTTGGAAAGTATTCCAGCTGCCGGCACACTTCTTCTCATAAAACGCCTAGAAATGCACACTTTGCATAATTATCCGTTACTGTTATGAATCAACCCAACAATCTTCTTACTAAAGGTTGTAAATGATATATTGCAAATAGTTGAAATATGGATACACATCCAAGTCTAGAATACGTAAATGATAAAAGTCGTAAAGTTCGAACTTGGAATTAACAATTTGGAGATAAAAAACAATTTATAAGCATTGCTACAGTGGTGTTCTTCAAATTAAGACAAGCAAAATTTGAAGCGATTTTGCCTGGATGAAGTTTTCTTAGCGGCATCTTGAAGTGATAAATTCACTTTTTGCGAATCTTCTTCATTGTCGAAGGAAACAGTAAATGCAGTTGAAGATAACGCACGCTGTACAACTGCAAATTTCTCATTAACAATAAATTTTAAATCAGAATCCCAAACATGAATCACCGATAGTTTAATTCGAATCCAACAAATCCTTCATACGAAATATTAACACCTAGCAGCTTAATGTCAGAAGTTACCTTTAGCTTTATTTTCTTTTTTTGTTTCGTCATTGACAAAAGGCTCATTCAAGTCAATATCCATCCTAATCGATTTTAATGGTCGATGAGTACTTCCAGAAGCTGCATTCCTATAATAAATGAAAACTCTGGAAATTTATTTAAATTCTAATTTAAAATCATCTGCTAAAATTAATAAAGGAGTAAAAACTATAACTTGCATTAAAGACATTTTTATAATAAATGAATATGAAAAATAGCGCTTTATAGGGAATTAAAAAGGGAGTTGGAAAGCAAGGTGCAGGGAAGCTGGAAAGTAAATCCGAAGCCAAAAAAGAATTCAGAGATTCAGCTCATCACACTCACTCTGCATGGTGTAAACAATTTTTTCCACTACTTGAGTATTCGATAAAAACAACGACATGAAGTAAGAGACAAGCAAAAAATTGTCCTCATAAATTAGCATAAGTAGAAATTTAATTTCAGATTAGGAAAGAAACTGGGGATGTTATTTTAACGAAAAACAACACAGATCGAAAAGAAAACTGAACGGTGATTTGAAAGTTTTTTTACCTCATGTTATCGCCATCACTTCGAACTTGTACATTAGACGCACCATTTTCACCCCACCATGTCGGTGCGGCACCGAATAACGGCGTCCTTTCACCTTCTTCCGTTTGAGTCTGCAACAGAACCACTATTATCAACATATCCTTAATACTACTGCCATGCTGATTTTAAAAATTTAGAGTTGATGAACTTCAATTTTTTTCCAGTCATTTTATCGCCAGAAATTTCTTATATGATAGAACCATCTTTGCTTTTTTAATTCAATTCGTTTCACAAAATCTAATGTCGTCATAGTGAATCAAAGTATTTGCATCTCAGGTTTACAGTGTTCACATCTCAGTTCTTTACTATTATGGATTTATTTCTGACGATAATTATTTAATTAGATAACTTATTTATAAAATGGGTACTTTGGAACTTTTCGAGTTCACACTACAAAGACATACTGAATATGATATAACATTTGGCATTACAAACTGCCTCATTCTTTATGGAGTGCTGTAATTCTGAAGTCAATACTGTTAATAAAGTCTTGTAAAGTTTCAAACAAGTTTATATTTCACAAAAATTTCGGCAATATATTCACACTTACATGTCTTACGGTAGTGACACAAGTGGAAATGACTGGACTACTAACAGCTTCCTGATATGTAACAGCTTCTTGTGCGCGCGTTTGTGCAGGAGTCTTCTGCGAATTACTCAGCGACATAGTTGCCAAATTGCCGAATATTGAGCAATTCTGGGATATAACAGGTAAAGACTGTGGCGGTGAAATGGCTGAAAATAATGTCTACAATATACGCTGTGCCATATGTACTTAAAGAGAAAAACAAACTGTTTAGGTTCCATAGTTTATGATTCCCAACCCATTAAAAATAAAACTCATAAAATCAAAAAATGGTTGAGAAACAGCTGCGAATTTAAAATATGCTGGCGGAAAACCTTACAATTTTTTGAAACAAGGATTTGTTTTGCATCCACCGCACGACTTCTTGTTGTAGACATTAGTGGATGTTCAAAAACAGTATGCCTTTCGTCGGTTGTTATCGCTGATCTGAAAGGAAACAAATCAATTATTGCATGCAAATAAATCATGCAAAGATTTCTAATTATCTAACTACAACTGCGTGAAATAATTCGTTAGTTAAATCTCTTGCAGTAAGTAGACTGGTTTCAATTCCACAGATAAACTACATGACACTTTTACAGCAATACCTTATTCTGAAATCATAAGATTTCAAAAGAAAAATAATTTACCTCGTATCATCGAAATCAACAACACTGCGAACAAAACATCCAGTGCTACCCGTCGGCGGTGGTGGAGTTGAGGAAAAGCGCTGTCCAAGTGCCATATGCGATGATCCTATTTGATTTCCGGTTTGGGAAGTGGTTATTGGTGTAGCAGCCACGACATATGCGCCTGCCACAACAAATACCTTTTTTCAATAAAGCCAAAAATTTCAAAATATTTGGAAGAAAGGGGCAAGATAATCAAAAAACTAAATTCTTCAGCGTAATCATTTCTAAAGCTTTGAGTAACAACAAAATCGAGAAATACTACGAAAAACTATGAAAGAGTACAAAAAGATATACACTGACTCTCTTAAAATAGAGCTGGTAGTATTTCATGTTGCTATCTCCGTACTGATCATATAATAAAAGCACTATATAAATGAACTTACTATGAGCTCCGGATGGGAAAGGATGATAATAAACTGGTTGTGCCGGTGTAGTAGAATAGTAAACCGGCTGATAGATTATTTGTGGATGTGGTGGTGGTGGTGCAGAAGATACCAAAAAATGTTGACCGGTTGCTGGATCGATTAAAATTTGATGACTACCGAGTGGTGCAGTTCCTGGCGTACATCTTTAAACTTTCAAATTCAGGACATATATTGAAACACATAATTCTAGTAATAGTATGCTTAATCGCCACAAAATTTTTTTTTGCTTAATATCACGCACAGTTCGTTTCCATATAGAAATAATTGCAAAAAAATTGCACTACAACAGTTAATACAGTATATAACACTTTTTCTTCGGAGAGAATCATACGTTTAAGCGACAGTCATCAACAGTAACACTTCGCTGCTCTTAATTAGGCACCCGACCCTTCAAAAACAGTGCAACTATAGATAAATTTTTTTCTACTTTAATACAAATACTGCCACTTGAACTATATTTCTTTATAACTTATCTGTAATTATATTCTTATAATTCATTTTCATTAAAACTGAAAATTATATTTAACAAAATTAACTCGCATTTGTGATAGTGTGACGGGTAATGTATTAGTAGTTTGTTGACTAGTTATAGTTGTTGGTGATGATGCCGTTGTAATATCGTGCATCAGCGATATCGGAGGTGAAATCGATGAATGAGTCGAACCAGCGCCAGGACTTTCCTGATTTTCAGAACCCTGTAGAAATTGAAATATTAAAAAAACAGCACTATCGAAGAAATAATGTAATAAAATCATAGTAATAACCACTCAATCAATTTTACCGAGACTTCAATGATGTGGAAAGATTAATCAATCATCTGTATATCTCATCATCTAATACTGAATGCTCAATTCTTCTCTTCCTTGTTTATTCCAACTTATTCTCGAAAACATGGAAATAATAATTTGACATTCCACTAAAATCTAACTAACTCCAAGGAACATTTCGCCTTCAAAACAAAAATCTTAAAGTTTAAATATAATATTACATTATTATTTTCTGAAACCAAGCAGACCCATTTCTACAATAAAAGGATATATATATTTCATGACGCAGAAACAAAAGCGATCTAGCAAATATTAACCAAATGATAATTAGGCTGAAAGTACAACTTGGTACACTGTAAACCAATTGCTATTCTCTCCTTGAAAATTATTGGAAACTGCATGAATTTTCTTCGCAGTTATCATTCTATATTTAAAGCAATCATCCGATCATCTAAAGATGATGGAAAACTTCCTTGAAATATAAATTTTTCTTTCTTTACTCAAAATTTCGATCATCTAAATTCAAATTTCGATGGTACCTTTTTCTGAAAAATTTCCATCCTCTTTTGTCACATTTAGCTGAATATGTTCAGAACAGGCGATAACATTTAATATTTCTTTAGGATATAATTAAAGGAATCGACTAAAAATAAAATCAATCCAAACCAGATTTTCCAAAACTATTACAAACATAACGAGAATATCATATTCATTCTCAAATTAAAAAAAGAAAAAGTAATTTCTCCAGCTCGAAAAACAAAGAAATTTTAACCAGTCAAAGATTTCTTGGATTAACAGTATCTAGCATAATTAAATACTTGTCAATATATAACCATATAACATATATAACCTCACATATAACTACAATTATTAAACACAAAACCACAATTACACCGGCACAATGTTATTAACGTAATAGTATATATGTGAGGTTATATAGGTCATATGGTTATATAGTATATGAAGTATTTTTTTTATAGTACATAAAGTACGTTAATAATCAAATATTTCAGATTAAAAAATTTTTGAAACTTTCCGTTTCACTCCTCAACTAAACTTATAAAGCATTGTGCATTATTACCAGATTATCTTCAAATACCAAAACCATAAACATAATAATAATAAAGGTTTCAGAACTTTTACTACTACAATTCAAACTTTCCAAAAACCAATTTGCTAATTTCTTTTATTCATTTTTCCTGGTTGTTGCAGGTTTCGCCCCGTCAGTCCTTCAGTAACACTACTGGTATTAAAAAAAGATCGAAAAAACTTGAAAATGCAGCTTATTTAAATGCTAAATGTCAAACAAAAATATTCGATATCTAAAAAAATAAAAATTGAGCAAGTATGTGCGATATTTTTGTATTCTAAAGGTTTTATGATGAAAGATGTTATTCAGAAATCATAACATAACTGATCATAAGCGGAATATTTTAAGAACATCTAGAAATGTCCAGTTTTTGATAGAAATTAGTGACACCAAAATCCTTCTAACGTTATTTTTCGGTTGTTTTTGAAGTCCTAGGGAAAAAATCATTCTCACCCTTTTTCCCACAAATGAAATATTTACTACGCCACTCCTATACTAAAAATGCCCTTTTTTGTATGAATGCATTTTAAAGAATTTTTGTAATAAAAGTCAAATAATTATTCGTTCACTTTTCCACTTTTTCATTTTATTAATACAGACAAATCAAATATCAATTCGTTGACTTGACGGATTGTAATAGTTAAGTGAGAATATATATAT